TCCTTGAAAGAGTGACCTTTGACCTTTAGATGCAGATGGACAGCCGAGTCTTGTCCCGTGGAGGTGGCTCTTCTATGTTGTGCCATACGAACCGTCACAGACATATTCTTTAATGTATTATAACCTGTTATAACTGTTGTTATAACCTATTATGAGACTTAACCAAGCCGCCTTTTGAATTGTGAAGTTCAAACTTAAAAACTTTTTAAGGTTTTTATTTCAAGCCTCTCATTGAGTCCTCTCTCCTCTTCCTCTCAGGCCGCTTTGCCGTGCGTGACATGAGGCAGACCGTTGCCGTTGGCGTCATCAAGTCCGTCGAGAAGAAGGTTGCCAGCGGTGGAAAGGTCACCAAGTCCGCACAGAAAGCCGACAAAAAGAAATGAATCCTCGTGCAGGAGGTCCACCAACAAGTCGCGTCTCAGCAGCAGCGGGCCGCCCCATCCTCCCTTCCCCCCTTCCATCCAGCGCCGTCTTCTCTGAGGCAGAGCTCTCTACTCAAGGACTGGCTTATGCTGATTAAAACCCATCGGAAGAGTTTCCGTAGGAAAGGAAGGTTCGTGCCTTCAAGGGAAAACTACCATCATGATTACATTTAAACCAAAACAATAAAAATCTCAAACATTGCCAAATGAAAACGCCTCTTTTGTGTTTATTGACTGCAGACAGTGGCAGCACTGGTAAATGGACCGGTTCTTTTATGCACTTTTCTGCTCTACCTGAGCACTCATACATGCCTCATTCACCCATTCATACCAGCATTTTGCTCTGTGCTTCAGTGCTTTCTATCTACCATTTAGTATCTTGCCAAAAGGATATTTGGCATACAGCGCCGAGCAGAGGGCATCGGGTCAAACAGGTGGTGGGCGGGGTGCAAGGGCTCACCTGTGATGGTCCTGGTTTTCCAGACAGGAGGATTTGGCGATGGCATCCAGGGGTGACATAGGCCTCTCAAAGATTTCTTGGGTGGTTTTAATTACTCTCAGAGGTAGCAAAAATACGGACATTCTGTACTTAAGTAGCAGTACAAATGCTACTCATAAAATACTCCAGTAAAACTTATAGTACTGATTCAAGTACAGGCTCTGAAATGTACTCAAAGTAAGAAATAAAAAGTAACTCTTTGTAGGACGTTTCTATTTTTGTGCAAACTAACTGAACCTTGTGTTATAATTACATAATGATAAAATAATATCAGCAGATGGGAACACAGACTTCAGTCTAATTATACTCAGCTTGAATCTAAAAACTATGTCTCTATTTTCTGTTCCCTGCTTTGTTTTTGCCTCTAAACAGGAAAATGTGTACAGTCTCAGCAGGTGGGTGAAGCCTAAAATGAGTTGTAATGGCTCTGTGTTGGCAAAAGAATCAGAACTCACAATTTCTATTGAGAAATATTCTTAATGTACAGGCTGTGATCAGCTGACCTGATACTCTTTGTGGATGTACACAACTGAATTCGAACAGATGTCAGCAGATGTGTCGTGAGTTGTCCTGGCTGATTTCCATCCTCTGCACTGACAGTACGCTGTTCATGCAGCAATTCAGTGAATCAGTCTCAGCATCATCAGGTAAAATTCACATGAATCTCTGCTACACTGGATGTAACCTAACTCTGACCGATGAACCACACCGACTGTGCACCAGTCGCACCCTCATCTTTACTTTTCGAAGTACAGCAAACTAACCTGTTCAACCTGTACTAAATGTAAAGAATTGCCATGTAACTTTAAATAACACAGCTATACCTCGCCTAACCTCTCGTCTTCCTCTCCTCTCCTGTCTTTCTTATCTTCATCTCTGAGTGAAGTTAACTCTCTTTCTTTTCTCTCCCTGTGAAATACAGCAGCTGGACCTTCAACTAGCAACACATTGTGAGACCAACTGCACACAGTTTAGCCGCTTTTGGGCTTTCTTTCTTTGCCATGGTGTTGGTGTTGTGGGTCCAGGTGAGATTGACAAAAATGTGGGTGCCCAGAAACCTCGAGTGGAGACAGATTCCACCCATTCTTCATTTATAATGAGAGGGGAGTGGATCTGTCTGTGTCTTCTGAAGTTCATGATAAGCTTCAGGTTGTTTTCTGAGCACCAACAGGACAAGTTCTCTGCTCTCTCATCTCCATCAGAGATGAGCCAAACCATGGCAGTGTCTTGGGTGGGTTGGTGTGCAGAGAACAAGAATAAGGATTATTTATGCCCTCGTTTATTTCTGCAGTGGAATCAGAGGTGACACAGCCTTCGCATTTTCTTGAAAATGAAACCAAAAAATTTAGAGGATATTTCCAGATTGTGCAAGATTACTTGGAACAGTGTTTGGTTGAA